TACTTTCTCACCCATGACGTACGTCTACGTTCGGGTGAGCAAGTTCATACGTATATATCGTCAGAAACCCACAGGCACCCCTCAAACAATCACCCTGTGGTGTTCCCAGCCAACTCCCAGTCTTTCCTGGCTCCAAAAGCCACACTTTTGCTGTCTCCAGCCCCTCCCCTCGCAACTCTCTCTTTCCGTGTCCAGTGGGAACAGGCTTTTTGAGGAGCTGTTTTTCGTTTTAGTGTTTCCAATATTCTGCCGTTATTTAAAGTACTTTAGTCTATTTATTTAAATCAAATTATTCCCACCTAATTAGTTAAAGTCGGTGCATATTTATATTTCAACGATAAACCGAATTATTTCAGTCTAATTGTTTAACCAGTATTTTGCAGGGTCAAACATCAAACGTTAAATCAAATAATTAACCAAAAAGCCTCAACCCAAGCACCTAAAACCAGTATTATGCTATGTCAAACATCAAACGCCACAGTTCAATCATCTCAGCTCAAACGTTTCAGTTCAGTCACACTAGCCATTCATCACTTTAGCTTTATGTTCCCAATTGTTATTAACGGGTTATACGGTTTAAGCAACCACAAACCCAACAGTTATCCCCAAATTATACAGTTTGGACAGCCACAGACGTCTTTGATTCCCAATTAGTTTTCTATCAAGGTATACAGGTTTGTCATTCACACTCTCATGCATACGACAACACTCGCACTGTCTAACTTTTAAAGTACCTCCTATGAGCCTCAGTCATAGCTCGCACTGTCTAATCTATTTTAAAGTACCTCCTATGAGCCTCTAGTCATAGCTCACACTGTCTAATCTATTTTAAAGTACCTCCTATGAGCCTCAGTCATAGCTCGCACTGTCTAATCTATTTTAAAGTACCTCCTATGAGCCTCAGTCATAGCTCGCACTCCCATGGGTTTAACCATCACAATTATCAAACATTTGCATAGTATATTATGAAATCGAAGTAGGATACTGTAATCGTTATTTATAGTACAATAGCGTTCACTTACATCAAACAGGTGCTTCACAAAATTAATTTGGATAAAGCCAATGTGCAGAACTTTAGTTACATAACAATAGGTGTCTGCTTACCTGTTTTTAGAAGCCCGGGCACTTTGTGAAACACACCGTTCGACGACAGCGATGTCCAATGGGCTGGGTGAATTCCAGCGAAGTTCCGCTACCAGATCACAGTCGGAGGTCACCAATTGTTAGAAATTGCGTAATTCAAATCTGGTATTGGAATAAGAGAAAACATAATCAAGAGATATTCAATCCAAGCTAAATTTATTATATGCAAAATGTATGTATGATAAGTATGTTGGTTCGTATACGGGCTCACTGAAATACCACGCAGGGCAGACAGAGAACTGATCCATTGTTACAGGTTCTTCTTCAAATACTCTGACAGAGATATTTCCCACTCCCTGCTGGCCAATCAGAGTAGAGACTGAGCGTGGTTTAGACTTACTCAGCCAATCCGTTGGCGCACCGGCTGGTCCCAGTCCCTTGGCGCTCCACTGTTGCACACTGTTGCCAGGCATAAGTTGTTATCATAACAACCTGTAGAGTCAGCGCCCATAGACACCGTTCCACTGTACTCTAAGTACCTACGTTCAAGGACGGTTCACAGACAACGGTTCACAGACAACAAAGAGGCAGTGTTCGTATCTGTAAGAAATACAAGTCTTATCTGTAAGAAATACAAGTCTTATCTCATCCTACCCCCTAACGTTCCTCACATGAATCACAGCTTGTTATGTGAAACAATTCATATCAGTACAGTATAAACCTTCTATGTTTAATCACCAATGCATTCCTTCTAAGCTATTCATCCCTCCAGTTATGAGAAAATAGATCCCCACATTGGGGTATTCGGGTATGAATCACATTCACCCCCCTTTTCTACACTGTAAGCATATGAATGGGTTTCAGCAATACCTATTTTCTCCTTGGAAGTCTCAACATCCATTATCTCAGCAACAGTTTGGTTTTGTCCTGACTACTTGCTGCTAGCTATGAAGACGTTAGCTAATGTTAGCTAAACACGCAGAAACTTTTCGATAGTTAGCTTGTTCGTTGGAAATCGTCAAAAAAAATGTAATCAATGGCTTGATTAATTTCAAAATAGCTACATTGTATGGCTATATATATTTTTTCTTGTTGCAACTGCAGCCTAAAATTATAAACTTCGTGAGAAAACCCTAAAATTGTTCCTCATCTAGGAATGTTACGCCCTATCATGCCTCCATCTTGGATCACTTTTACATTTTAGTCATTTAGCAGACGCTCTTATCCAGAGTGACTTAAAGTTAGTGAGTGCATACATTTTCATACTGTGGTGGATAATTAATAGAATTTCGTCACATTTTATTGTAGCCTGATGCAAAATGCAATGTGTTCCCCAGTTCAAAATTACTATATATTATTATTACTAAATCTAACAATTTTGTTTTGTACAGCTTCCATCGCTCCTCAAAGAAGCGATGTGGGTAAGCATCAGTCACCTATCTTACTCAATTTAATTTCCTAATTCCTATTGTGCATACAGTATTGTGAATGGCAGATGTAATTCTTACGTTCACAATGCATGAGACACAGTTGAGTTTAGTACATCTGAGCAGATTGAAATTGACCTATTCCTTTTCCCCTTAATTTCCATTATTTTGTATTAACTAGCCGACGGTGAATAGGTGCATTGTGAATAACATTAAAAAAAAAACATGTTAAAATAGGTTAACAAGGATACATTTATCCTCATTATTGGAAAAGTGACCACATGCCTGAACTAATGATATATGATAGGCTTATGTGTTTTCTATAGGTTGAAATGAAAACTTTGTGGCAAGGCTCAGCCAACAACCCCCCAAAAAGGTGATGGGGACCCTCTTTAGCCGAGAGACCATGGCAAAATCTTATGAGGCAAAACCTCAAAATCCGCATTAAAAACAATAAGTACATTTACCCACCAGAGATGTTTCCATCAAATTGATTTGTTGTGGAAAAAAACCGTACGTGATGACCTATAATAACTTTTGCGGTTACATTTCCATGTATAGAATAAAAAATAAAAGTAAATGGGTTTCTATCGCATTTTTAACTCTAGGTTACTGATCGTTTTGCCACAAAAAAATTGCATTTTATAGCAAATGTGCCCACTCTGGTGTTTGTACATGTGCTCTAGCCAACAACTCACAGATTCCGGGCTTGAATGACGGGCCGTCAAAAACAAACAACTAGAAATATGTGTACTGTTTTAATAAAAAAAAATTCCACCACCATTTTGGATTTTCTGACAATTTAGGATGTCTTGGGGGTGGTTAATGGTGTTTTATTAAAGTACACATTCTCCCTTTTTTTTCTTTTTTCTTTGACTGCCCGCCATTAAAGCTAGTTAAGGAGGGAAATTATGCCTTTGCAGCCTGAATGGAGGATGCTTTATGTACGAGCCAGTCCACGGGGGACAGGAGTTTATTACCTGCTGGGCACATCAATCCTAGATGATAGTGCAGATTTCTATAGTAATTACTAGAATATTCTTGTAATAAAATACTAAATAGCCTTGGTTTCTCAAATGACTGCCTCGCCTGGTTCACCAACTACTTCTCAGATAGAGTTCAATGTGTCAAATCGGAGGGCCTGTTGTCTGGACCTATGGCAGTCTCTATGGGGGTGCCACAGGGTTCAATTCTTGGGCCTACTCTTTTCTCTGTGTATATCAATGATGTCGCTCTTGCTGCTGGTGACTCTCAGATCCACCTCTACGCAGACGACACCATTTTGTATACATCTGGCCCTTCATTGGACAAACCTCCAAACGAGCTTCATTGCCATACAACACTCCTTCAGTAGCCTCCAACTGCTCTTAAACACTAGTAAAACTAAATGCATGCTCTTCAATCGAACGCTAGTGGCACCCGCCCACCCGACTAGAATCACTGCTCTCGACGGGTCTGACCTAAAGTATGTGGACAACTACAAATACCTAGGTGTCTGGTTAGACTGTAAACTCTCCTTCCAGACTCACATTAAGCATCTCCAATCCAAAGTTAAATCTAGAATTGGCTTCCTATTTCGCAACAAAGCTTCCTTCACTCATGCTGCCAAACATGCCCTTGTAAAACTGACTATCCTACCGATCCTTGACTTCGGCGATGTCATTTACAAAATAGCCTCCAACACTCTTCTCAGCAAATTGGATGTAGTCTATCACAGTGCCATCCGTTTTGTCACCAAAGCCCCATATACTACCCACCACTGTGACCTGTACGCTCTTGTTGGCTGGTCCTCACTACATATTCGTCGCCAAACCCACTGGCTCCAGGCCATCTATAAATCACTGCTAGGCAAATCCCTGCCTTATCTTAGCTCATTGGTCACCATAGCAACACCCATCCATAGTATGCGCTCCAGCAGGTATATCTCACTGGTCATCCCCAAAGCCAACACCTCCTTTGGCCGCCATTCCTTCCAGTTCTCTGCTGCCAATGACTGGAACGAACTGCAAAAATCTCTGAAACTGGAGACTTATCTCCCTCACTAACTTTAAGCATCAGTTGTCAGAGCACCTTACCGATCACTGCACCTGTACACAGCCCATCTGAAATTAGCCCACCCAACTACCTCATCCCCATATTGTTATTTTGCTCATTTGCACCCCAGTATCTCTATTTGCACATCATCTCTTGCACATCTATCATTCCAGTGTTAATACTAATTGTAATTATTTTGCACTATGGCCTATTTGTTGCCTTTCCTCCATAACTTACTACATTTGCACACACTGTATATATATTTTCTGTTGTATTTTTTGACTTTGTTTTACCCCATATGTAACTCTGTTGTTTTTATCGCACTGCTTTGCTTTATCTTGGCCAGGTCGCAGTTGTAAATGAGAACTTGTTCTCAACTGGCTTACCTGGTTAAATAAAGGTGAGAAAAAAAAAATCACAATTGTGTAAAATAATCTTATAGGATTACTATAGACTTTTCTGCATATTGTGCATTACAGTTGAACCAAAAGACTGCTGTCACAGTCAAGCACCAGATGGTTCTCTGGGTAATGGCAAATTCTGGGATGTAGTTCTAGTCGATCCTGTGCACATGTCCTTGTCATTGATAAATGACAGTTGATCATTGACAAACAACCATAGGCCTCTGTCAAATATGTTAAGGTCAGTAGGTTCAGAGTAAATGTTAGCCATAAGAGGTGACAAAAGTCATTTCCAGAAGTCAAACATTTGTTTATTCAATAAGAGGCAACTATATCCAGGTACTATTCATAACCACAGAATGGGACTACATGAATTAATTTGAAATGGGTTACACAATGTTGTCAACAGTAACAGAAAAGACTGGAATGTTAAAAACAAACTGGACAGAAATGTTTATACTAAAACGGCCTTCCTCTGGGAAGACTACAGGTGGACGAAAATCCTCTCAATCAGCCGAGGTCTGTATCTTTATCCATCTTTCTCTGAAAAAATAAAATAAAATCAGTGTACATTGTCAATCCATTATATACGGTATGTTAACCCATAACCAAGAACACCAGCTAAAACAGATCCCCTAAAAAGTCCCATATCTTTCCATTTGGTTGAGATTCCACAAGCATAGGTGATACTAGCTTAAATAAACAAGGTTTCCCTTGACAGTGATCAATATTCTACACATTTATTGTTAAGAATTAACATTTGACAGTGAAACCTGAGAAATGTTGAGAATGTATTCTGGCCTCCAAGGTCAACTACACTTTCTTACAAATACGCCACACCACAAAGTATGATTCCTAAGACTGACTCTTGTCATAGTTGATAATAACCTTAAGGTTCAGGTAATGTTCCTCACTGCTACAGTGGACTGATTTGGCTGTTTTCTCATTGGTGTAGAAAATGTTGCACAGCTTGCAGAATAATCCAGTCCTTGGTACCAGATAGTCTAACCCTGCAAGTAAAAGGACAGAAAGAAAACATGTTTGTTCTCAAAATATGGCACTAAAAGTTATTTATTAGATCCTTGTCACCCCTGATAATAAAAAAAGGCAGCCACACAAACAGAAGTCTGTTTTTCTCTAGCCTCTTACCAACAGGGTTGTCAGGTTGATAAGGACCCAGAGGTTCCTCCTGCTTCTCCTCCTCCTCCTCCTCTCCCTCTGGGATAGCTTCCACACCACTGGCTTCCTCACCCTCAGGGTCCCCACAGACCCCCTCACTGTCAGACACAGGGCTCTGGACATCCTGGCCATACAAACACAATCATGTCTATCACTCATTTGTTCTAATTAGCCTGAGACCAACACCAAGACATATCTTCACTCTTCTCTGTGCGAAGTGCATTGACTGATTACTTCTTGACTAACCGGTAACTGTAAAAGGATTGTTCACGAACATGCCTAAATTAAATACGTAAATATTGAGCTAGCATTTAACTAACAAGGCAATCTTGCACCTTGTTTAAATTAAGGAAACAAAAACATAGCAAATAACCATGTTTCACCTCTGGACAGGGGCTTTTGGCTGACTGGCCATTGGTCTTTTCATCTCCATGGTGATCTCTTGATCTTCTGTTTTTCTGACCGGCCAACCACAGCTCATATTTGACTGGTGGCTTCCTGTATCAGAAGAGCAGAATACAATGTCATGCAGAACTATATCATGAACGTGTACTTAGATACAACCCTCATACAGTCCAGGTTAACCATAGATCACAACATTCTTTATCAGATAATTTTGTTGGCTGTATATTCTTCCAATTGATTCCAATCAATTTAACTGTCAGTGGACATGGACTGGATAGGATACTAGCATTCTTCAAATTCCATTTTGTCTAACTATAATTTCCATCATCTACTCTACTGCATATTCTTAGTGGTCATTGAAAATTATTTACCAGTATATTAGTGAGTCTCCCTTTTTGCACAAACTGACCCTTAACAGGGTGCCGTAAAACTTCTGTGGACGTTTGAAGTACTTGACCATTTTCTGAGCGGCTTCCACACTCTCCAACTGGATATAACACTGAAAGAAGGGAAAAAAATCCATGTGAGAGTCCGTTATCAATAGAAAAACAAACTCCCCCCTAAAAAATGGGCCGGTGAAACTTTACCTTTCCATGATGCCAGTTCAAATTATAGCCAGTGATTTTCCCGAAAGGCTGGGCAAGTCGTAACAGAGAGACGTCCGAGTACTTCTGGAGTGGAAGCATACAAATGTAGATGGATCTCCCACTAGGACTCTACATTGACAGAAACAAAGTCACATTACACATAGTATGCATCTTTGTGTTACAAATGTTGACTATGCTAGTGTGTAGGTGAGTTTATAACTAAATTCTCTCATCAGATGCATAATGTGTACACCATAGATACTACACCATTTAGCAGACACCAAACCCACCTCCAACTTTTTCTGTGAAAAGCACATGCTAACACTGACACGTTTCCGCAACAACTGTCCTTTGCCTTTGTAGAATTTCACCATTTCACGAACTTCCTCTGTAGTATCAAGCTCTAACCATGCCTGAAAATATAGAAAATTCTCAACGTCATACAAACTAGGACAGCAAACGCTTGCACAAATCAGGGGTTGAGTAAATAAACTCCTCCCTGCAAAAATGCTTGAATGTCAAATTGTTATTCACCACTGTTGCTATGACAACATTAGTGCCATACAAAATACACTGATCCGCAATTAACATATCTGCAAGTAACATAATTATGAACATACCTCCTGTCTGAGGAAGGATATGGAATGGTGGACAACTTTCACGTTTGCTCGCTCTGCCAGTTTCAATAGGGCCACCTCCACGTTTCCATAGCCCTTTCTAATTGGGCTAATATGGACAACTTTTCCATCCTGTAGAAACAATTTTACTGAGCAACCTACTATCAATAATGTTGGATAAAACAACTTTTCTACACTTTTGACACATTCCAACTGCACGTTTCTAAATTAACAATGTCTTTTTTGGAGGAATACCAACCCATGAAGCATCCTTTGACTCTGCAAATAAAAACAAAAGTAATTATTACTATAAATTATGATCTGCAGATTATTTTCTTAATGTGTTATCCACACAGGCTAAACAACCATAATTATGTCCATTGCTGCCAAGTAAGAACTTTTTGCATCATTCATCGCTTACCCAGCGATGTGTACCCTCCAGTATTGTTGTCGAGTTCATCCAATGTAACAAAATCATCCATATTCTCTGGGAAATCCATGTCATCCATATTGTCCTGTTGGAAATAAGTCCAAAACATCAATAAGTTAAAGAATTCAAGAGTTTCAAGTTCCACAGTGCTGCACCAGAACCATATCGAATCTCATAAATATTTTGGAGGTTGCAATAGGAAACTGTCAAAAGCAGCTCAAACAATTAACATAAAAGTATGCAAAACTGTATTCAATAGTCTTGAACTATGATATAGATCCGTCTCAAAGCTAGGAAGTGAACTCTGTGGCTGCACTATTACAAATGACATTGACAGCTTAAATATCCTATGTTATTCAAACCTTTTGGTCAGTCCAGGTTAACCATGATAGGGCTGAACAGATAGGCATGTCTACTGATCCATACATCTACAATGTTTGGCTGACTTGAGTGCTTAAGCACCTGTTCTGGATTAATACCGACAGTCTAGGTTTTCTGGAAACAATTGGAGCTTGTACAGAGATGGATCTATCACCTTTGATATTCAACCATGGAATATAAAGGAGACCCTTCAAAGCTTATCTCCATCTGATTTGTAGGGCACTCATAAAACTGATGGAAGTAATAACCCCTGAGCACATCATATAGCCTACATACAGTGCCTTCAGAAAGGATTCAGACCCCTAGACTTTTTCCACATTTTGTGGTGTTACAGCTGGAATTTAAAATGGATTACATTTAGATTGTGTGTCACTGGCCTACACACAATACCCCATGTCAAAGTGGAAATATACTTTTAGACGTTTTTATATTAATTAAAAATGAAAAGTTATGTCTTGAGTCCAAAAAGTATTCAACCCTTTCGTTATGGCAAGCCTAATTAAGTTCAGGAGTAGAAATGTGCTTAACAAGTCACATAAATTGCATGGACGCAATAAGTGTGTAACATGATTTTTGAATGACTACCCCATCTCTGTACCCCACACATACAATTATCTGTAAGGTCCCTCAGTTGAGCAGTGAATTTCAAAACACAAAGACCAGGGAGGTCTTCCAATGCCTCGCAAATAAGGGCACCAATTGGTAGAAAAAAACAAACAGACATTGAATATCCCTTTGAGCATGCTGAAGTTATTAATTACACTTTGGATAGTATATCAATATACCCAGTCACTACAAAGATGCAAGCATCCTTCCTAACTCAGTTGCCGGAGAGGAAGGAAACCGCTCAGGGATTTCACCATGAGTCCAATTTGACTTTAAAGCAGTTAAGGAGTTGAATGGCTGTGATAGAAAACTCAGCTGTAATCGCTGCCAAAGGTGATTCTAACACATATTGACTCAGGGGTGTGAATACTTATATGAATTAGATATCTGTATTTCATTTCTCAATAAATTTGCAAACATTTCTAAAAACATGTTTTCACTTTGTCATAATGGGTATTGTGTGTAGATGGGTGAGAAAATCAATATAATCCATTTTTTATTCAGGCTGTAAAACAACAATGTGGAATAAGTCAAGGGGTATGAATACTTTCAGAAGGCACTGTACATAGTGTGCTATGGTACCAAGCAAACTCAATATTCCAACAATCCATGACTCAAACCAGCCATTGCTGACATGAGTCACAGAAAACATCTTGACTGTTTGTCTAGACCAGGGTTGCCCAACCCTGTTTCTGGAGCGCTACCCTCCTGTAGGTTTTCGCTCCAACTCCAGGTGTTACTAACCTGATTAATCTTATCAACCTGCTAATTATTAGAATCAGGTGTGCTAGATTAGGGTTGGAGCAAAAACCTACAGGACTGTAGCTCTCCAGGAACAGGGTTGGCCAGTCCTGACTCTAGATTGACGAGGTTCAACCTGAAGTGTCAGATCAATTTTATTTGCCACTGAAACCTCAGCCAGATTTCAATGGTTCTAGGCAGAAGATGGCCACATCTGTTTCAACTGATCAGTGGAGGATCTCAACCAAACTACATTCTCAGGAATGCTCCCAGAACTTCAACCAAGTTGAAGAGTTGAAGCACACATGCTTTAAGAACCCATTGCTAGGAACCCACATCTTGGTTACTTTACAAAATTATTTTCAATTCGGGGAACAATAAGCTTTTCTTTTTTGGTTCCGGTCACAAATATGAATGACAAGAATTTCTTACATCTTCATGAAAGCTCTCCTGTTCCATCATGTTCCCCATTGAGACATCATTACAGAGAGCTGGATCATCGGCAGCCTTTATGTCAGAATCCTCCAAGGTATCGTCTGCCAACAGTTCTGAGATTTCGGGTTCCCCCTTATCTTTAGAATCAGCCACCAGAGAGGCACTTTTGGAAGGCGCAGGGTCTTTACTATTAACACCAGCACCAGCTCCAACCTCGTCATCTAACAAGCTTTTTTGTTCAGCTTCCACCTGGATGCCCTCTTCGTCTAGATCTTTGTTTTCCAAATCAATGTCCTCTTCCTTGACCACCTCCTCCTTGACCTCCTCCTCAATATCCTTGATCTCTTCCTGCTTGACCACTTCCTTGACCTCCTCTGAGGTGCATTGTTGATCTTCTCCTTGTTCTGTCACTTTCTCAGCAGGTTGTTTGACTGTACTGGGTTTTTCTTTGTTCGTGGAGTTTGAGGTCTTGCTGGTCTCCTCTCTCTTGTGTCTGCTGCGGCCTTTACTAGCATCTGCTCTTCTGGATGTGGTGGAGTCAGGACTTTCTCTACAAGGCAAAAACCATTGCGGTAAACTTCCCTGACAAACTTCCTGATGAGTCCCATAGTCCCAATTGAAGGACTCTTACTTACCTCAGGCGCTTCAGTGACGATGACAAGATTACTTGGACATTCTTTCCATTGACCTTTAGGGGGTTGGCGTGGTAGTACTTCACCATAATGTCAGCATCCTTCCAATGTACCATCTCAATCAGGGCCTGCAGATGAATAAGGGAGAATTCATTAGACAAAGCTTGAGAAGGTGCTGCATAATGGAGGTTTTGGTGTTGAATTGATCTATTCTAGTCATACAATCCCATGCTATTCTGAATTTAAAATAGATCAACTGCATTGTTATTGTTTTAATCATTGTTTTCTATTTGAAATCACCAGAGATTTGCAGAAATTGATTGATCACACATCAATTCCATATTGCTCGAACCTTACCTGATCGCTTGAAAATGTTGAATGCCGCACATCCCCAAACATCTTGGCGAGATCGAGAATCTCTGGTTCTCTTTCCTTCCCAGGAGGTAGGCGGGAAAAACAAACCACTGTATTGGTAACTTGTTTGTTCTGACGTTTTTCTGGTGGTTCATCCAACCTTGGCGGCTAAAGGAGAAAACAAGCTCATACTGGGATCTCTGTGATTAAGAATACAGAACCTCAAACTAAGAGGCAGATGCACTTACATGTATACTGCACACCATAGGTGACAGGTACAGAATCAACTTATTTCCCTTCACGAACGCTTGCTTTTCACTGAAGTGATTCACCATATTGACTGCCTCTTTGTGCGAACCAAACTCCAGGAAGCCCTGTAACAAAAATACAACAGTGAATCATCCAATAGACATTCAACTACGGATGTAACTTTTTTTTAGCGAGAGAATGTTAAAGCTGCAATATGTAACTTTTTGGGCGACCCAACCAAATTCACATAGAAATTAGTTGTAGATCTCTGTCATTCTCATTGAAAGCAAGTCTAAGAAGCGGTATATCTGTTCTATGTGGCTATTTCTATGCTTAAGTTTAATCTTTTACTTTCGGTTTTGTACACAAGCATCAAACAGCTGAAAATACAATATTTTTGGTTATTGAAAATATATTTCACAGCGGTTTAGATGGTACAACTATCTACAATATACTTGCTTGTTTTGTCAAAAACTTAAATTATTAAAATTATTGCAACCAGGAAATGGCAGAGGGATTTCTGCATTGTGCATCTTTAAGAGTTTTTCTTATCAATTTGTGTGACTTACCTTGCAGGGGAACACCAGATGTTTTACAACTGTGCCGAATGGCTTAGCCAAAGTCATCAAGTCTTCAACACCAACAGTGCCAAGGGGAAATTTTGTGACCACCACCTTCGTGCCAGCCTAAAGCAAAATATAAAAATCACACATTCAAGCATGCAGCTTTAAGCAAATAAATTCCATCATAAGAAGTTAATGATCAATGCTCTATTTATAAGAAAACATTGCCACAAAAGGGACATCATTACCTTGGGCTTCAAATGGTGTCTTTCTGGTGCTGACCAGACTTCACCTAAAGATGAAAACATGAAAGGAGATAGTATTTATTTTCAAATGGTTTGCAATTGGGCCTTATTTGGTCTGGATCAAACTTGATTTTGGAATGGGACTCGGGTTATCACCTCGTACGCGGTCTGAGCTATGTTGTCTCTTGTAAGGCATAGCAGGACGTGACGTTTTTCTGGGCGTTGAAATAGCATCTCTACTTGGGATGGAGTTGGACCTGGAAGATAACGTAAACAGTGCTAAGTAAGAAGAGGAACGGCTAATGGTTTTACATCATGACATGGCTGTTTTCAACTTAAAGCTGAATTTCATGCCCCTCACATTTCTTTCCGGGTATCATGTCTTTTCCAATCTGGATATCTGTAAAAAAAGAGAAAAAAAAGAAAACAGAAACGAAAAAAACGATTTTGAATAAAACCACGTAATAGGAAATATCTCAATAGATTTTGTGACCTGTATCAGTCCATTTTCTAAATGTTTTACTTTGCATGGAAACGCTTACAGACGCAAGAGTTCTTGACAGCCCTCCACATGGCGGAATCCATTGAGATGATCCTTCCATGTCTGTGAAAAAAGCAAACTCATATTAAGCTAAATGAATGCCATCATGGAAGGTTAAGTGTTCTGATGAAAATTATATAGATATACAGTCCAACAGCAAGAGTATTGAAATATAACAAAGCTTACCTTAGTAGAATTCAACATGCAGAAGCATAGAGAGCATGTGTGTGGGTAAATCTTGGGCACAACTCCATGAAAATCATCCACTTGATAGGAGAAAGGAAACCTTTGCTGGCTGTCGGATGTTTTTTCCCTTGAGGACCTAGTGTGATGGGAATCTCTCCTTGCCTCAGTCCGCTCTGGTCGACTGTGAATCTCCACTCTCCTATAGTCAGTGTCACAATGGCTGTTGGACTGGCGAGGGACTGTAGGGGGACTGTCCCGTTTGCTGCGGTCTCCATCATCTATATCCTCCTGCCGGGTGTCTCTGTTTGGGGAGGCCTCTCCCTGTCCCTCTTGCTTGGCTCGTTTGGCCTTCAGTTGCATTATCAGATAAGGCAAAGTCTCCACACTGATCTCGTTCTCTGGAATCTGGGCCAGAGCATCCACGTCTTCTGGAGAGAGCCCCAGAGTGGCATATAAATTCATAGTGCTCATCACTCCATCACCAGATCCTTGGTGTGCAGAGCTGTGACCCTCACTGTCCTCCATCCTCAAACCTCCAGGGCACAGAGAAGTTTATTCTGAAATTGGGGGGAAAATGGTGTTCAGTCATTTCAACTGTAACTAAAGCAGAGTTTCCCAAACTCGGTCCTTGGGACCCCAAAGAGTGCATGTTTTGGTTATTATCAAAACGTTATGCTTAGTTGATTATTTGAATCAGCTGTGTAGTGCTACAGCAAAAACCAAAATGTGCACCGAGTTTGGAAAACCCTGAACAAAAGCCTATGAACATGTCTAGCTAAATCAATGGTTGGCTAAAAAAAGTGTAGGACCTACAGAGCCTTGGAAAGAAAGTATCCCTACCACGACTGTGAAACTGAATTTCAATCATTCAATGGTTAGTTAGTCTTCATTTCCTGTGAGTAATCATGTCAATTGATGTCCCTAACGGAAATAAAAATACGTATCAGTAGCTAGTTACATTGGAGGGGCCTTCTGCACAACAGCCAGTTGTTGTTAAGTAGCTAGCTATGCATCTTTAGCTCTGCAAAACGAAGCCCAATATATTCTCACCCCGATTAAAAAATATTAGCTATCAAGCAAGTACCATGTAACTAAATTATAACGTTACTGCATTAATGGCATTATTTTTAGCTAGTTGCACGCACCGCTGGAGAATACTGCCTAGCCTCCAAAGCCAGGAAGCTAGCTAGCAAGAAGCTAACCATAGCTTTCTAGTAAATACAGCAAGATATCAGAGTTTCGGGTTGAATGTTTATGGATACAGTTCAACTACTACATGGAATTTCGTAACATTTGGTGGCAACAGTCTGGCCAAAGATATTTATAACTAATCCATTTTACGTTACCAGCGTCTGGTCAGCGACATTAAGAAAGTAGCTCCTTACCTTGTTCAAAATAAAAGTCCCTCACGTAATTACACTAACGTATTTATTCATGATATATGAAAAATAATTGTTTAAACATATTCTATGATTCAAATTTAAGTGACATTTGTATTAAATGTGGGTAAAAAAAAAATCCCCAAAGTTCAATAAATGCCCCCAATGCAATACACTGTATATGAAACACATATTGGCATCTAGAGAAAAAAGTATCCTATGTGGGGTTGGGAATACTCAGTGGCGTCTGTAGAATCTACATATGGTGTTATTTCATTGGCGACTCTGGTCTAAATACAAAGCAACACTTTATACTCTAGCAGAGTGGAATTTACCTTCTACATAGTTGCATTATTTTCCAGAGAACGCATTTGGAGCAAAAAATCTGTTAATTTGCTGTTAGAAATGTGTTCAACATCCACTAAAGTAGTGTTAGAAATTGCGTAATTCAAATCTGGTATTGGAATAAGAATCAAGAGATCTTCAATCCAAGCTAAATTTATTATATGCAAAATGTATGTATGATAAGTATGATGGTTCGTATACGGGCTCACTGAAATACCACGCAGGGCAGACAGAGAACTGATCCATTGTTACAGGTTCTTCCTCAAATACTCTGACAGAGAGAGAGAGTTCCCACCTCTCTGCTGGCCAATCAGAATAGAGACAGCGTGGTTTAGACTTACTCAGCCAATCCGTTGGCGCAAGGGCTGGTCCCAACCCCTTGGCGCTCCATTTGTTGCACTCTGTTGCCAGGCATAAGTTTATCATAACAACCTGTGGAGTTAGCACTTTTTTTGCAGTACCCATGTCCTTGGACAGTTCACAGATAACAAAGAAGCAGTGTAGTCTAATATTTTGAGACAAGTCCTTATCTCATCTTACCCCCTAACGTTCCACACATGAATCACAGCCTGTTATGTGAAACAATTTATATCAGTATAGTACAAACCTATGCTTATCATTAATGCATTCCTTCTAAGCTATTCATCACATACAGATCAAATTATGAGAAAACAAATCCCAACAGTAGGTAGCAAGTTTACTACTAGATAGCTACAGTAGTTGCCTTCGTAACCAAACAAACAGACTTACTAGTTTAGCTAACCAAACTATCAGTCCTAGCTTGCTATTATGAAAATCGAATTCACAGAATTCTACCCGTGCTGATACGCTGTGCTTTATAGCGAAACCATGTACGCGCTAGAATGCCCTTCAAGCCAATCAGAAAAGAGTATTCAACAATGCCATGGTATCCACCTCATTTTCGAATGCTTTTAAAACATGGAAGCCAAACTCGGAAACTATGGATACAACTTCCTCCACGCCCCCTTATAGACCCTTTTCTAGGACATGACATACTGACGTCACGCACAGATGCGCACGACTCTTGGCGGCAGTAAGAAAGCCATCGCCATCCTCGCCCATTCAACATAGCCTAAATTTATGTTTTTATTACTTGTAAACAAAATAGCTTTTTGAGTTCTCATATGCTTACAATGATGTTTTGATTCATGCTTTAACAGTCTCTAAGATTATATTTGGTTGTGATCTTTGCAAAATAACTATTTTGGAAGCAGCAGTTGTTAGCTAGAATGGTACCTCATTGATATATACAGTGCCTTGCTAAAGTATTCATCCCCCTTGGCGTTTTTCCGATTTTGTTGCATTACAACCTATAATTTAAATTGATTTTTATTTGGATTTCATGTAATGGACATACACAAAATAGTCCAAATTGGTGAAGTGAAATTTAAAATATAACTTGTTTCAAAAAATTCTAAAAAATAAATAACGGAAAAGTGGTGCGTGCATATGTATTCACCCCCTTTGCTATGAAGCCCCTAAATAAGATCTGGTGCAACCAATTACCTTCAGAAGTCACATAATTACATTTACATTTACATTTTAATTAGTTAAATAAAGTCAACCTGTGTGCAATCTAAGTGTCACATGATCTGTCACATGATCTCAGTATATACAGTGAGGGAAAAAAGTTTTTGATCCCCTGCTGATTTTGTACGTTTGCCCACTGACAAAGAAATTATCAGTCTATAATTTTAATGGTAGGTTTATTTGAACAGTGAGAGACAGAATAACAACAACAAAAATCCAGAAAAACGCATGTCAAAAATGTTATAAATTGATTTGCATTTTAATGAGGGAAATAAGTATTCGACCCCCTCTCAATCAAAAAGATTTCTGGCTCCCAGGTGTGAACGGTGAGGAATCAGCCCAGAACTACACAGGAGGATCTTGTCAATGATCTCAAGGCAGCTCAGACCATAGTCACCAAGAAAACAATTGGTAACACACTACGCCGTGAAGGACTGAAATCCTGCAGCGCCCGCAAGGTCCCCCTGCTCAAGAGAGCACATATACAGGCCCGTCTGAAGTTTGCCAATGAACATCTGAATGATACAGAGGAGAACTGGGTGAAAGTGTTGTGGTCAGATGAGACCAAAATCGAGCTCTTTGGCATCAACTCAACTCGCCGTGTTTGGAGGAGGAGGAATGCTGCCTATGACCCCCAAGAACACCATCCCCACCGTCAAACATGGAGGTGGAAACATTATGCTTTGGGGGTGTTTTTCTGCTAAGGGGACAGGACAACTTCACCGCATCAAAGGGACGATGGACGGGGCCATGTACCGTCAAATCTTGGGTGAGAACCTCCTTCCCTCAGCCAGGGCATTGAAAATGGGTCGTGGATGGGTATTCCAGCATGATAATGACCCAAAACACACGGCCAAGGCAACAAAGGAGTGGCTCAAGAAGAAGCACATTAAGGTCCTGGAGTGGCCTAGCCAGTCTCCAGACCTTAATCCCATAGAAAATCTGTGGAGGGAGCTGAAGGTTCGAGTTGCCAAACGTCAGCCTCAAAACCTTAATGACATGGAGAAGATCTGCAAAGAGGAGTGGGATAAAATCCCTCCTGAGATGTGTGCAAACCTGGTGGCCAACTACAAGAAACGTCTGACCTCTGTGATTGCCAACAAGGGTTTTGCCACCAAGTACTAAATCATGTTTTGCAGAGGGGTCAAATACTTATTTCCCTCATTAAAATGCAAATCAATTTATAACATTTTTGACATGCGTTTTTCTGGATTTTTTGTTGTTATTCTGTCTCTCACTGTTCAAATAAACCTACCATTAAAATTATAGACTGATCATGTCTTTGTCAGTGGGCAAACGTACAAAATCAGCAGGGGATCAAATACTTTTTTCCCTCACTGTACATACATACACATACATACACATATACATATCCTTTTAAAATATATATTTCCCTTTATTACTTTCCAACCCCACCACCCCTTCCCTAATTTGAGTAAACTAGTGAACAACAATGCGTAGGCCTCTACTTCCAGCTTATACATACTATATACATTTTATGGACACAGTCAATTTTACAATAATTATATTTTGTTTGTTTTTACTCCTGAACTTCCTCTACCCTCAACCTCTCCGATAATTTTCATGATGTCCATCCAGTTTGCTTCCATATACCATATCTTTCTAACTGTGCTCTTTCACTAAAGCTCTCAACCTATAACCTATATACTTATTATGGACACACTATGTTTTACATTATTAGTTATCTTGTTGTTGTTACTTGTTATTAGTCCCATCCTTCAACTTCATTCAACACCACCCATCTATCTCTTAACACCATCCATATTGGATTTCTATTTGCCTTATATTTTTCAACTGTACTGTGATGTTTTACAAAAGTTCTGAACCTTTCTATTCTCATTGTTTCTACAGATTGTAAATTGAAAATAAACATTTTTGCTAAAAGTATTATTATATTATTAATCGATTGACTATGACTTTTCAGATCACCCAGTAATGCTATCTGCAGGGTTAGCTCCAGGTAAATATTGCAATCATTTAGCCATTCCTGGACCTGTGTCCAAAAACAAGCTACAAATGGACAGTACCAAAACAAATGATCTAATGATTCTGTCTCTTCGCAGGCAAAATCTGCAGAGCTGGGAAGATTGTATCCCCCATATAAATAACATTCTATTGGTAGCAAGAATTTTATATAATAATTTAAATTGAAAAATTCTAAGTTTTGAATTCGCCGTCGTTTTGCATATCAGTTCATAAACTCTATGCTATGGAATCAGTATGTCAAAAATCTCTTCCCAACTATTTTGCAATCTATATGGGA